AACAGTGTTGGCTACCTCATCCTCCTCCTTCACCGCCTCCTCAACCTATGGGTCACTTAGTATAAACTAGGTACACATTAGCAGAGGCTTGTGAAGGTCTTTTCTCCATGCATCAGGACTGCAAGAAATGCACCGCAGGCCGCAACTGTTTCTTTATTTGTATGCCCCAATATTTTGTGGGCTACCACAATTCAAAAAAAACAAAAACAAACAGTGTTGGCTACTACCACCACCTCCTCCTCCTCCTCCACCGCTGCTTCCACCTACACCGCCATAGTCACCGCCTCCTCAACCTATGAGTCACTTAGTATAAACTAGGTACACACTAGCAGAGGCTTGTGAAGGCCTTTTCTCCATGCATCAGGAGTTGAGCTCAGTTTGAACAATGAAAGAGAATACCCTGCACTCCAACCCTCTCTCAAATGGATAATTCTGTTGATCCTCCTGACAGCCATACTTTAGATTTTGATTTATGTTCTTACAAAGCTAAAATCAAAGATACCATCTAGTGCTATTTTATGGCTCAGCTGTATTTTTAATTTTTATGTTTTAAGTGATTTCCCTATCCACATTTGTTTGCAGGGCACTTTTCCTACTCTTATCCCCATTTTACTTGCTTTAGCAGCTCTCTAGCGCTTTCCAGGAGTTTTTTTAGAGGCATTTTTGTGGCCAAAAGTTCGGGTCTCCATTGACTTCAAGTTTGAGCCTGAACCCGGACTTTTTTTCCTAAGTTCGGTGAACCCGCCGGTGTCCGCTCAACTCTACGACTGGCGTTTTTTCGTCCTGATGTTCCGGTAGAGATTGTCAGGAGACAAGAGATCCAAATGACTGAGCTTTTACAAGCCAGGAGAAGGTACAGACTTAAGTTGGGAGTGGAGATGGTCGGTCTCTCCCCAGCAGCAGAGTGCCTACCCAGCGGAAGAGCTGGCATCAGGGCAGAGCACTGCTGGCCTCTGCCCATAAGTCCTTGAATCTTTTGGCATGGGAGGGGTGGATGGGATCGTGGTCTCTCCCCCCCTGGAGTACAGGGATGCTGGGCAGTCGGCCCAAATCCCCAACCCCCTACTATGAGAGCTCACACCACCTTGATTTTGCCCCTTCAGCAGAGCGAGTGTCTGGGATATGGTGCCATTAGTCTCCCTCCCCAAGGGCTCTGTGTATCCCCAAGAGGGGAGAATTGTGCCCTTGCCCTCCAGCTACCAAGTGATGTTGCAGGAGTGGATGCTAGCTGTTGCCCTGCCCAGAAACACCCGGGAGTATACCGTGGAGCATGTGGCAGGAGGCCCTATGGGGCACGGCCCAGTCTGGGAAAAGACCCAAACAGATTGGAGGTCTGGGGTCTGATTAGTCTCCCCAGGAGGGGGGAGATATGTGACGAACGCCTCTTTGCCTGGACGTTCGCCAGGGGCTCCTGGAGGAGTGTGGAGGCTAGCGTCTTGTCCCGACTATGGGCCATGCTAAAAGGCTATTAAAAGACTTGGTTCGTTGGATTCCCTTGGATTGTTCGGGAACTGAAATAACCAACGAACTGCGGACCACCTCTGAGCATATTGACCCTTGTTAGCCTCTCCTGACCCTTCAATTAGTGTGGCCATTCGTACGCATGAACTTGTAGGAAGTGTGTTGGCGGCCATCTTGTTTGCAAGAATACAGGCAGCAGTGTTGGAACTAAAATAGGACACAAACTCCCGAACACCGCTGAACTTGGACGAACGTCTGCTTCTTCCCCACACATGGCAGGAGAGCCATTCGGTATTTCTTTTGCATGGAACTCCCGAAGTTGACCAACAAAAGCACAAAACGCCCTGGAACGGTTTTGGGCATAGGACCATGTGTGCGGCCGGTCAGATACTTCCACACGATGACGTTTCGGTTGTGTTCGTGGGATCTGAGTGCTTTTCGGATATGTTGGGCGCTTAGATCCAGGCATGTATAGACTGTGGAGCTTCCTATGTGGGAAATCTGTATTTTTGTGTGTTTTGTCATTTTCTGCTGAGTCACGGTGACATTGCATTTTGGGAATATTTTGTGGGTGTGTTTATGGGAGTGTCATGGGCATGTTTGTGGTGTCTCTGTACTGTATAAAAGTGAGCCATTGAGCCTGGATTAAACAGATTGTTCTACCCCTTCCTTACGTCTAGGCTAATGTTTGGGGGATAGGAAGCTACATTCACTACTGCCCTTGGGAGATTGTTCACGGATATACTTAGCTGGTGTATTGGGACCCGTTACACAGTGTATATAAATATAAAAAATAAAAAAAATAGATATATCTAATTAAGATTCAATGTGCAGAGGATTACGTCACACAGTCCGTCTCTTTATACATACATAAACACACACAGTTCAATCACAGCACATCTCACTATATTGAGTGATACACAGTGCGCTAGAGTAAATCCCTCTGTATGTGTTGTAGAATTATTAGGCCTCTATAAATTTGTAAGGCCCCTTTAAATCCTCTTGCTATACCTCTAAGAGGCCCCCATAGTTTTACAAGGAAGCTTTGTCTATAGAACATAGAATTTGCATGTCAGCAAGAAATAGCTTTGATAAAATGTGTATTTACTAAAATCCTTGAAACTTAACCTTGAGAAACTAACAAGTGCCAGCTACGCTCCAAATGGATAGCTGCCAAAAGGCCCCTCCCGTCGAGTGAGCTCCTCATTTTAACAAAATGGCGCTAAGACCTGTAGGAGTTAAGAAATTACGTAGATAGTGACCTAAGAATGGGGAGGGCATTTTACTAACATCTTAGCACCTAAGCCAATTATCAATGTCTATTTGTCTATATCTTGATTTTCTTCAATGATGTAATAATGCCTTTATAAGGGTCTGCGCACCCATTTTCTGGCAGAAGCCATTAAACTTCTCTGAAGTTCTTTCATTACCCTGAACCTTGTGTCTCAGTGTGAATTTACTTCTGCGTGCACGCAACTTTATTATCTTTAATTTGGACAGGAACAGATAGTCATTCAAACTAATTGGTTTGCAGTAAATTATCTACAACAATTGGCGCTTCAACGTGGGGCTCTGGGCTATGTCCAGTCTGGGCAGCTGTCCAAGAAGACGCTGGGGGGGCTGAATCCTGGGGGAAGGAAAAGAGCCTGATCACCTCTGAATACACGGTAGAGATTGCTGCAGCACCTAGCCGGTATGCTCCTGCCCCTGTGATTGACCTGCCCCAGTGTCTGTGACTGCTGCCGAGAGGACATCAAAGTCAGGTAATAACTTGCCCAGAGTCTTTGTATTGTTAATGATACCTAGTTTACCTGCATGTTGACTATCTGTTGCCTGGGTGTGTTTGTATTGGTATGTGTTTAACTTAGTACCCGGGGAGTGTAAGTGCCTGTTTAACTCCTTTTAGGTACCACATGCCTGTGGTAGTAAGGAAAAAGGGGGGTGGACCTGTGGAAGTTTTCCTGGGGGTCCTCTATTGCCTGTTTAACTCTTTTAGGAGCCACGTGGCTGTGGCTGTAAGGAAAAAGAGTAGGGGGAATCTGTGGAGGATGATGTAGACTCATTGCTTCCTGGGGGTTCCCCAGAGTGTCATTTTGACCGCTTAGCTTCTTGGTAAAATTCCAGCCTCGAGCGCTGAGGCAGGTAAGATTCCAATTCTTTAGGCTATACAGGATTCGGGTTGGAAGCTGTTGCTGTTTCCTGTGGCTGCTGGTAGTGAGACTTGCGGGTGGGTCCGCAACAGGGACACTACGAGGTTGAGGGAGGTGGCTTTTGGCCACACGAGTAAAGGCAAGGGATAAAACTGTTGAACTTATTTGAACTGTGATGCATGCACTGTATTTACACTGAAATGTTATTGTCTTAATTGTCTGTCACACAGATTCCTGTGTTTACTTTTATCTTACTCACTGTACTACTTACACTTTCCCCTCCTAGTTCTCTTTCTCTGTTGAGAGAAGTGATTGGTCACACACTTCTCGCCACGCTCCAATCCGCGGCTACCACGGGTAGGCGGAATCAGTGACTAGTCTACGTTTTGGGAAGACGTACTTAAAGAGCTTGCTCTTAAAGTAGCAGTCGAGCACGGTAGACGTTCTGTTCCTTTCTCTCTCTATATCTGGGACGCCTTGTATAGGGAGGATGGGACAGAAGTTAGATAAACCCAGTAAGGGTTGGTTAGCATGTGATCTAGTGGAAGACAGAGAAGGAGAAGAGATGGTTAAGAAAGTGAGGAAGATTGCTAAAGTATGTGGAATTACCGTACCTCTGTGCGGCAGATTGTAGCCAGAGAGCTGGCGTAAGTTACTGACAGAGAAGAAAGAGAAGCTGTCGGACCAAGATTTGGTTTGTACAGCAGAAGCCTGATACCGAGTAGCAAGAGCTATTCAGCAAAAGGGATAGGTTGAGGAAGATATTGATCACAAAGGTTTAAGTTTGTTTGTGTATTATAATAATTGTGTTACTGGATGCTGATGGATCCCTATTCCCCCCCCCCATCAGTCCTACAGATCTCGTCACCCTCATCCTCTCTCTGCAGCTCCCTGCACCTCCAGTCCGTTTCTCCCGTCAAAGATTTCTGGTTTCCAAACGTATAAGTCTCTGTCCTTCTGTCTTGTTACTTTACAGCACTCACATGGTTAATCTTCATGCCTGCAGTCTCTCCCTTTTTTGCACTGTCTAACTTTCTCCCCCCCTTTCCTCCCCGCTTGCCTGCATTTCTACTGATAAGAATTAGAGACGGGATTTTTGCTGGAAAATATTCTAATTGTGTAGTATTGTGTACATTGTTCCATACACAGACGTTGTCAGGCAGGTTATGGAGCTATAATTGTGTAATAATATTATTATTGTTGCCATTTAGATGGCGTCAACAGATTCCGTAGTGCTATATATTTATAAATTATGTTTTGAGTATAAGGTACTGAGGATTGTGGGAGTGACGGGCTCACAAGATTGCATTCAGTGTTGAATACGGGATTTAGGAAGGTGTAGCCTGTTAACACTGATAGAGGGAATATGCGATGTTGTTAAGTCAGTAT